ATTATCGTCCAATTACCTGCTTACCCACACTGTATAAGGTTCTTACTTCACTTATTTCTAATAGACTATATGACCATCTGTCCTCTAACAACATTCTACCGTCAGAACAAAAAGGCTGCCGTCGATCAACTCAAGGCTGCAAGGATCAGTTACTCATAGACAAAATGTTAGTTGAAGATGCCAAGAAGAGAAAACGAAATCTAAGCATGGCCTGGATAGACTACGCCAAGGCATTCGACAGTATACCTCATAGTTGGATCCTTGAAGCTCTGAGTTTATATGGAGTTAATCCTATTGTTGTGAAGTTCCTCGAATCATCTATGAAGAAGTGGAATACCGAATTACAGCTGCATCACGCTGAAGGGTGCCTCAAAACTGATAAAATAAGAATCCGCAGAGGGATATTCCAAGGAGACTCCTTGTCACCGCTGCTATTCTGCATCTCCCTGGTTCCACTGACTAACGCTCTGAATTCTGGAAAACTTGGATACGAGGTCAGGCAGGGTTCCTATATAAGTCACCTATTATATATGGATGACCTCAAGTTATTCGCATCCAGCAACAAGCAGCTAGATAGAGAGCTAGACATTGTGAAGCGGTTTAGTGAGGACATATGCATGCAGTTAGGCCTGGAAAAATGTAAAAGGATCACGATTACCAGAGGAAAGATCTCAATGAATGTAAACCAAATAACTGAAAATAGTGCAGGATTTGACTACCTTGATCTAAGTGAAACCTATAAATATCTTGGCGTACATGAAAGTGACGAGGTACATCATGAATCTATGAAAGAAAATGTGAAGAAGGAATACTATGGTCGGTTAAGGCGAATCTTGAGAACAGAACTGAGCGCCGAAAATAAAATAAAGGCAGTCAACAGTCTTGCTGTACCGGTAATGCAGTATAGCTTTGGAATATTGAACTGGAGCGGATCAGACATCGAAAAAATAGATAGAAAAACCAGGAAACTGTTAACCATCTATAAGTTTCATCACCCCAAAGCTGACAAAGACCGACTCTATATTCCAAGGCGCGATGGTGGCAGAGGTTTAATTGAACTCTGCAGTGCCTACAGGATGACAATTGCCGGCCTTTATGAGTATATACTCCATTCCAACGACAAGTTCATCAAGTTAGTGCTATTGCATGAGCAACAAAAGGCTAAATACTCCATTACAAAGATCGGGGAAGCCATGAAAAGACAATATGCATACCAACTGAACGAAGATCAGTCAGCGGACAACTTGAAACTCAGAGTAAAGGAGGCCATGTGAACAGAAAAAGTCAACGCCCTAAAATCGAAACCACTCCATGGACAGTTCTACAATAACCTACACAAAACCAATGTAGATAAACACATGTCCCTGGATTGGATGAAAAGTACAGGACTGAAGGCGGAGACTGAAAGTCTACTGATTGCTGCACAGGACCAGGCACTTAACACGCGCTACCATAGAAGAATGGTCCTGAAACAGAATGTCGACAGCAAATGCAGAATATGCCATCAATGTGAGGAACATATAAGCCACATTATTTCAGGCTGCTCAACACTGGCACCAACAGAATACACCGAAAGGCACAACAACGTCGCTAAATACATACACTGGGCTATCCTCAAGCAGCACCAAGTACCAGTTAGCAACAACTGGTATGATCATTCTCCTGAAGCAGCAGTAGAGACAGACGAAGCATTAATTATGTACGACAAAGGAGTCATTACCGACCGTACGATTTCCGCCAACCGACCTGATATTATTTACCATAATAAAACACAGAACACATGTCTGCTAATTGAGGTATCTGTACCAGACGACAACAACGTCAGCACCAAAGAAGCGGAAAAGGCCAGAAAATACAAAGACCTCGAAATCGAAATATCGCGCATGTGGAAGACAAAGACAAGAACGGTACCCGTGATCATCGGAGCTTTGGGGACTGCCACTATGTCATTCAAGAACAACATAAAAGAACTCCCCGGAGATGTCTTTGCAACACAAGTTCAAAAGATAGCACTGCTAGGAACAGCCCACATTTTGCGGAAAACCCTTTCCGACTAAAGACCTTAGAACTCAGGCAGAGTTCCGGTCAAGCTCATCCCTTCCTCTAGGAGTGAAATACAGAATAATAATAACGTTTATTGAGATACAACTCAAAAGGAAAGGGTATTGTACGGACATTTTTCAACCCTTCCGTAGGCATTAATATAAATAGATAAATTGGGAAAGAATAAATTGAGAACAGACATCAGACAGATATAGTTAAATAACATGGTTGACATATAATAATCAGTGTATAAGAGTACATTCTACATGTAAACTGTATAAATGGACAAGTAAGTAACTACAGAAAAAAGAAAATATGAATAGATAGAGATAAGGTCATAACGCCAAATAATAGATGGAATTCACGATTACAGTACATGAAACTGATACAATAACATCGTATTAGTACACACATTTTAGCTTGTTAAGCAGATGTAGCCTGTAGTATTTTTTAAACCGTTGTATGGAATTTTCGTCAAATAGTTCAACCTCTTTGTTCAAAATGGTTGAAGCCATGTAGCTAAAACTACTTTCAAACTGGCTTGAAGAGTGCGTAGGAATAACATATAAGTTTGAGTTTCTCGTATCTAAATTATGAACATCATAAAGCCCCGTTAAATTGTTACAAAGGTATGATGGTTTTTTATATTTGATCAACTTATACAACATAGTACTGTATTGCAATTCAACCTTTGAATCGCATTTCAGATAACCCAAATTATTGTAATGTGGAGATATATGTTCAAACCTGTTGATAGTGTTGTAACTGTACCGTAAACAACAGTTTTGTAAAACCTGAACCTTGTGTTTCAAGTTAGCAGTTAAACATGTGTAAAAAACAATTAAACCGTAGTCCATGTTAGATAGTATAACAGCATTGACTATTCGCCATTTCAAATCGGCAGATAGAATACATTTGAGTCTCCAAAGGCTCCTAAACTTAAAATAACAGCTACTAATTTTACTAGCTATCTGAGATTCAAATGTTAATTTGCTGTCTATTAATATCCCTAAGTTTTTAACATTGTCCGCTATATCAGTAACCGACCCATTCAGTGTAATATCTTGGGATTTAATAGTGAGATCACGGTTCACCATCACTTTACTACCGACAACAATCGCCACAGATTTGCTTGGATTTAGACGTAAACAAACTTGTACGGACCACTCACTTAGAGCATATAGATTTTCATTCACCTCACTCACTATACTGTTGATGTCACTCGCTGCACAAGATTTGTAGAGTTGCGTGTCGTCTGCATACATGTGGACTTCCCATTGATATTTTCGATAAGCTTGGACATAGTTGGAAGTAAATTTATTGCTCGGATGTCATCCAGTCGTGTGGCTAAAGGTACTTTGGCTAATGGTAGAACAATCGGCATAATTGACGTGTTAAAAGAAGTATTGATTATATGGCATACAGCATGCTTGATGTAAGGCAAGATCATCTCCAGCATGGATAAGTTGATACCATCAATAGGGCTTGCATTATATTTGATTGATTTGAAAACTTCCACCACCCGCTCAACAGGTACCTCCATAAGCCTATTCATAATTACGCTATGGCATTCGTTACTCAGAAAATAGTTTATTGTATCTGTTGACGCGTTAATACCTGCCAATTAATGCTATTAGGATCACATATTGATTTACTAATTTAGCATCATTTAGCCATTTTAGTTGCTCGTTATCATCACTAAAACTATTGACGTCATTCCAGTAGATAAACATCTGTATGTTAAGGTTTTTGAGGCAACTAAAGGTAACGGAAGGTCTAAGCTACATTGGACTAAACGATGATCAGACAGGTAGAGCATATCAAGGGTGCCAAGGTTCGCGTAGTGTATGGATTTAGAAATGCATATAACATCAATCAAGGATGAGCTGATACCAGATACCCTTGTTGGTTCGGTTACAACTTGTTGCATATCAAAGCAGTTTAAAATCAGATTTAGTTGCCTGTGTCCAACCGTGTACTGTTTAAGAAAGTCAATATTTAGGTCTCCAAGCAATACTGTACCGTCGCTGCATGTACATAAATCTGCAAGGGTTGTTTCGATCTCCTCTAAACTAGACAGCAACGACGACCTTGGTGGTCTGTATATAACAAAAAAAGAAATGTTTAACCTACCAAAAGTAACAGTTATGCACACCTGTTCAGTTTCTGTAAGTATTTGTAGATTGCTACTATATAGTTGAGATTATTATGCACGTAAAAACATACTCCGCCTCCTCTGCTTTGTCTGTCTCACTTCACAAGACTATAGCCAGGTATGTGAATTAGTGTTAATGGATAACCGTGCGGAATCCAGGTTTCAGTGATGGCAATAATTGAGAATCGGTTTTCCAAAACCATTTCGCTGAGCGTATGTTTACATGTGCTATCGTGACTAGTTTTTTGGAACTGTTAAGGTGCTAGTATTAGTTGAATCGGAATTAGCTGTTATATCAATTGCGCTTATAGTACTTGGTTCTATATCATTGCCATGTTGCACATGTGGGCGATATATACATAGAAGCAGTTGCTTCCTAACCAGTAGAATTTTGGTTAACAATAGCAGGCTCGCCGTTTATATATTTTATTGACAGATTCTCGTTCCGCCACTGTCTTATCATCCTTAACGGAAACATTGTTCTAAGTTTCGTTGTTCTTCAAAACCCTGGTATGGCGCAATAAATATTTAGCTATAAAGCTATTATTGAAATATATCTTCAGTGGCCTGGGTCTGTTATCATGGGGGCTGAATTTACCAATTCTATGATGGTAGATAATCTGGTAGTTAGGAGCTTCACCCTGCGTGTTGCTTATTAAGGATATGATGTTAACAGCAATATTTAAAGATTCGGTACTGTTTGTTTCGGGTACACCCATCAGTAGAATATTTTTCTGTCTATTAATCCCATATTTAATATCTCTCATTGAGGTAACGGACTGCGTGACTTGAGTTTTTAGTTTCAAAATATCTTGTGACACCTCAGCAACATGTCGTTTAGCACCGTTATATGAATCTGTGCTGGATACAAGCTTTGATTCAATATCTTTAAGCACCGTTTCATGTTTGGCAATATGTTCTCTTCTTGAACTTTGATGCTCACTTTTATGCTTTGTAGATCTGAGGTGAATTGTTCCTGTGCCGCTCGCACTCCAGCTATTTCTGTTGTCAAAGCAATTTGGTTCTGTGCCACCTTACTGATTTCAGCCATAATCCTATCAAAGTGTTCAGTTATTAGATGATTTGACCTGCTAGAGGTGGTTTTCATTATCTTTTCCTGATTTATGCTTATATGTGTGCTAAGTTTCAAATTAATTACACCTCTGGAAATTGGTGAAAATTATTCTCAAAGTCCGTTACCCACATACAGGTCAATCTAATGAAGGCGTATTAAAAAAATAAAAAAAGATACCACAATCTGCCTCCTGTGAGGATTGAACTCAGGACCCCTGGTTTACACAACCACTGCTCTGCCACTGAGCTACAGAGGCTTGTACTTTCAGCATTCGTAAAGCGGCATTTGAAATCCGTGGCTTTTTATTAACATATCTGCTTTTTACAGAATTTTTCTCCTAGGACAATGGAAAACTGTTATCAAATTATCGGCATTGTCATCGGTTCTTGATATGTGTGCGAAGTTTCAAATTAATCAAACTTCTGCAAATTAGTGAAAATTATGCTCAAAGATTCCATTACGTACAAACATACATACAGGCCACGCTAAAATAAGCGTGTTAAAAAGCAAACCAAAACTATTTTAATAAGTCATGCGCTAATTGGCTTTGCCATTAGCCACCTATTAACTGTTACTGAGACAATAGCTCAGTTTCACTTCTTACAAGGAGCTCAGCATCTACTTATGAAATTCAAACCCATATAACTAGATGGAGCCATGTGCACCGGAGATAAAATCGTTATGTACTTCCAGTAACGCACAAAAACTAATCACGTACTTATCAAAAAATTATTAGTGGTACTTACTATTGGCGCTATTATTGAAAATTGTTTATATACAGAAAAATAGCAACATGTTTGTAGCAGTAGTATTAACACGTTCGCCACGTAGGCGATTTCGGAATGTTAAAGCACAGTCGTATTATGTTTTTTGTGTAACATGTGAATAGTTTTGTATTTGTGATCAATAATCTTTTATATACATATGCTTCATGTTTTTTCTCTTGTTTTTTATTGCTTTTAGTCATGTACCACCGGTGCTACACGACGGCTGTCACAAGTATTAGGTGTTCAGGGAGGTCGTGTACCACTGGTGGTACATGACTAAAAACAAAAGAGAACAAGAGAAAAAACATAAAAATATGTAATATTGATCACCAATAAAAAATATTCACATAAAATAAAGAAAATTGTAGACAATGCTAGAGACGATAGAAAACGGGGTACTTCCTGTTAGGACAAATTACAAAGAGAAAGAGAGTAAAAAAAGCAATAGCCAAAGCTAAGAGTGATGACCTACTGCGATGATTGTGGCAATAAGCCGGCAATGTGTATGGACTGTTTTAAAGAAAAACATTCTGGAACCCTAGTTTCCTAGTCATTTTTAGGTTTGCTTTTGTTTTAATTCTAAGAAGTTTTTTCGAGTTTTGACTTTTTCTCTTTTAAGAGGTTTTAACTGTTTTTGTACCCTTCAACAAAATAAGTTTGCTTGAATAAAATTATATTGAAGGTATTCCTACAATCCAGTTTATTTAGTAGTTAGTCAAACATAATTATATACTATAAAAATCATGTACCACCTTCACGTACAGCCGTAACTTCTTTTCCAAGCTCCTTATGCAACCTTGGAGGAAATATAAAGCGCACTGTGTACCACATGTGGAGATAGGCAGTCATGTACCACATGTGGTACACGACATCGTGAACGTGTTAAGTGAAAGCTTAAATTGCTAAGAAGGAAAAAGTGGGTCGTGATTGGGATTCAAACTGATTCCATAATGGCTGAATATGATTTGGAGTACACCCGTATCACCACTTCTTCAATAATGCTGCTGCCAATACGTTTCAACGGCGATTAGGTCATGTGAATTTGCCGGCCGCCATCACGTCTACGAATTAGTGTTAAGCTGTTAGAATTTGATCTACATGAATTGATCAAACAAGTTGCTAGAGAAAACTAACGAGAATTAATAGAACTTTCAATAATATTCCTTGGCGGAGATACAGAGAAAAACATTAAGATTCGATCGCCAGGCGCCATGCATCAAGCTTGATGGATGGCCAGAGCAATATATTCATTAAAAATAGCGTTCCCAGCTCAAACTGTGTGTAAGGATTAAGCGCTGTGTTAAATATTTGAATGTTCATGGTGATAACCTACGTGAAACCGCGGTTGCAATGTACTTTAGCGGTTAAAGCACCTAACCAGGATTTATGTCTTTTAAAAGCAATCAAGGCTTACGAAAGATAAGGTCTGTCTGTCGAAAGCCAAGATTATTGCTAACTTAACCAAATGTACGGTAAATCTGACGAATAACCTTTCCTTTACCTTCCTTTACTGCGTCGATATAATATTCTAACTGATAACATAAGCCAGCATAAACCGCGGTTTTGGCAATAGATGGTACCTTTCATGTTTCGATAGACCTTATACCTCAAATAGAGGTTAGTTGCTATGCTTTCGCCCATTGTCCTGACCTGAGGCCAAGCCTAGACGACGCTGATGAGTTGCCAAGAAGCACAAAACATCTGTCGATGATTGACTGCCTGTAGTCGGACAAACAAAACCAGTATGATTAGATGGTAGCTATTCTTCGTCTTTTCATTTCAGAGAAAAACATCTATGACTTTCTTTCAATCAAAAGCAAGTCCTTGTTCAGACGACTCAACATTGATTTTTCTTTTCAACAGGCTAAGAATAAGGTGCAAACGCTTAGAGCAGTTAGCGTTAGGCAGAAAGAGCAGCCAAGTGAATTCAAGACTGCTGATAAGGAGCAGAAACAATTTTTATTACGTTGCGAACAAGAACACAGGCAGATATATCCTGACTGTAAATAGAAAACTTCAATAAGAAAATTTAGTAAATAATGTTCTTTTAATGATAAATACTTGAGAAATATGAGATACAAATAAAGCAGTGTTCTATTTGTCGAGTAAGAATTAGGTTTTGAAATCCATACATGGATTCCCTATTAGCTTTCGAAATCAAAGATTGACGGGAAGTCATCGTTCTCCAGTTGCGATAATATTTATTTTTTGAGTTGTTAGAGTCAAATGTAAAAAATAAGAGGAAATGCGTATCGTCGACTTCCGAGAAAATCACTTATATCCCTGTCGGAAAAGTTACAGGGGAAACAAAAAACTTTCCTGAAGATTGTGTTTATCTAATAACTCAACGAAATTTATACTAACTGTTGAAAAACCGGCCACACTTAGATGAAAACGAAAAAAAACGTGCCAAGTGTAACACCTATTTGTTTCAAGGAGTTACGCAATTTTTGTACTTGACGTCATGGACATACTTATTTTTCCAGATGACAAATTCACGAATTTATCATGATTGTATTTTCATTACATTTAATATACTAGAACATATTGCATGGTGAAATGATCAATTTTCTTCGTAAGCAAGATTGTCGTAGAAGGTATGGTAATCTTGAAGTAAATTTTTCTTCAAAATTTGGAGATGTCCATATTTTTCTTTTTTTATCTCCCTTCTTTCTTGGTACAGGTTGGGTGAAGAATCTGGTCTAGGTGAGGACAGCTTAGTTATATTACACTTACACTATAAGGCTTTGGATTTTGTCTAGCTGTCACAAAGCCATGCACATAATTGGTCGGTATATTGATTTTACGCTTCCGAACCTTTTTCTCAATGCAAGAGTGCATCGAATCGACTTCCATTTGCATATGCCCTTTTTCAAGATATTTTTTAATCATTTTTATCTTATGGAGCATTGTGATTTTAGTATCGGCCAGAATAGGTTTTCGATTCTGCCCAGTACAGCCGTCACTATATGGGTTGATTTGTTTTTGCTCTTCCCTTAATGAAGGAATGATGGTTTTTTCTATAATTTCAGTCAATATAGACGAGAATTCGTTAGACGGGAGGCCACCTTCCGTCTCATCCCATAAAAAGCAGTATCCGTCTTGGGTTTTTAAGTTACACAGTGTAAAATTGTGCTCCAGCAAATTACTCTTATAATACGTTGAACTGACTGTCGATTTTGGACATATGTTTGCCATTGTGAATACTGTCGCAGATAACTTCTTATCTTTTCCTTTTTCTTCTGTCGCTTCCCTTTTGGAAGATTCCTTGCATTGTATGCAACGCACATATCACACAAGTCCTTCCTGGGGGAACATGTATCGAGAGAGTTAGTTTATTAAATTATTTGAAGAAGACCATTCGTGATACGGGTTCATCACCACTGTCAGGGCAATTGAGGACGTTTGTAAAGACTATATAACTGATTTGTTGAACTCCACATTGGTTCCAAATATAGGTTACTGCTTGGCGCTCGGCAATAGTGTGACCCAACTTTTGGTAATGAATCGAAAAGCTCATTCAGTGCCTCCTTCCTCCTCCGTATGTTTTACTCCTACTCTGTCTTCTTTTATCCTTTAGTCACCTTACACTTTCTTCCAGTATGTCACTTTTCGTCCAGTTCAATACTGTAGATTCTTCCATGCTGATTGTGTCTAGAAATATTATTTTGCAGACTCTGAATTCTTTGTTCTCGACCTTGAGGTAGTACTTTAGTGAATAGTGTCATCGACTGTTATCATTTGCCCCCCTTTTTACATTTTGAATTTTCACCAAACTCTGGATATACATTTTTCTCTCCTGCCAACTCACGTGGTTCCAAAATATGTTGAATATATATTTTCGGTTTTCCAGAGTCAATTTTCTACACTCTATTTTACTAGATTTAGGGCCGATTTCACCAACATTAATATTATGGACCAATGGGAAAATACCTTATCGAAATAAAATTTAACAGAAGCTGTCAAAGGTCTCTGAATATTAGTGATTTCTATTGAAATATTGAATAAAATCGTGAAAATTCGACTGTACTATAAACAAGACCACTTTTTGATTCCAACATGATGCTTTTGTTCAGAAAAAACAGGACAACTTTCATGTATCTTGATGTATTTTATAGGTTTACATTTAACAATCCGTTATCCCCCTCAGCGAATGGGAATGCAGCAAATAATAGGTCGATTTTCTAGCTGATAAATTTGGCAGCAGAT